CTTCCTCTCGTCTTGCCCCTGTGACATTGACGGCCTCATCCGGTTTAGGAATTATGCCTTGACGATGTCTGCCTCAAATATCACACACTACTATGTGCAGGCCGGTCACCTCCGACCCGCATATTTGCCCTTTCCTTAATAGCTAATCAAATGGCATTCATTTTGTCGATTTCAAATGCTCGCTGACAATTTTGTAAATTTATGACTGCTTAATCTATAAGCGTGAACTGAATACTGTACACATTTTTTCTACTTGCCTTAAAATTCATTTGGGAATATATTTTAATCGTAATTAACTACCCTGCATTGTCCACAATAAAATACTTCGTTAATTTTTTTATACAGTAGCGCGATTTGCATAGATTTGCAATAGACGTGCGGCGGTGGGGCAGCACAGCATGCAGCCTAGTTGACCTGAATGCATTTAATGTCAACATTTCTTTGCCTAAATCCTTTTGACAGAAGAAATTGCCATAATCATTGGACCTCGTACAAAGTTAAATTAAAGGGATAAATTCGTGTTCTCTTTCAGAGATGGACCAGAAATACTGCGAAATGTGCTCTGCTCCGCTTTGTCTTCACTAAACTTCAGGTTATCATATACCTTTAGAAAGGAGATTGGGCCATTGCTTCGCGTTCTCTTTCTTACTTTGCTGTAGAATAACTTCATATTTACTATTAGTCGGTTCAGTAGGTTCTTCTCGTAGACATTCTTCACAAAAAAGAACTTTAACCCTGCACTGCCCCCATTGTAGTACCATTTAAATTAGAGCTAGTTTTTCAGTTATTGTGTCGCTTCGGCAATAAAGAATAAGACTTCTAGTATAATGATTTGCCTGTCTATCAGGCTTGTGCGGTGCACAGAATATCAAAGTGTTTTGCGTATATAAACTCCAATATAAAACCTGCATTCGTCAGCCATTAAATACCACTTGCTTTGGGGTTTTTCGACTGCTTCCAAAGGGTTCTTAAATAATTTCTTTTAGCAAAACGCCTTTCTTTTCGCGACATTGGTTCTTGTTTCTGCGAATATATTTTTTTGCACATGAAAAGGATACGTAGAATTGTTTTATCCGCCGCTTATCCCTAATCATTTTAATATACCTACACTTTACTACTCCTGGCTTGTAAATTGTTTGAATCCAGTACACGCGTATTTTTGTGTTCTTGATACTTTCGCACGGTTTCCTAACAGGGATGTTTGGCCTAGGTTTACCGCCTTTTTGCCGATTTGTGGCAACAGACACTTTGCATCTTATCCATTTCGCATTCATTTCTAGTTAGTGAGGGCTCCACGTAGGCGAAAACCATTTACTTGTCAGGATAATTAAGTTCTGCAGAAAAAATTGAAGACAACCAACAAAATGTTGTAGAAAAATAAGGCATGAGTGTGACATTTAAATAGCAAAATTAAAAGGAACGCGTCAAATTACTTTGTTTGCGCCATAATGACGGGGGTGTTTCTTCCAAATACAGTCCTCTTAATTGAATTTTTCGCTAAACTGCCGTCGGAGCTGTAGCTATAACCAACTCCCAGCGCATATAAGCCTTACTATCGTCCCTAGATTCCCCATTCCTTGGCCATTAATGCCCTTAATACGACGTTTCTATTTTTCAGTGACGAAGGTAATTTCACATTTCTCTGTTTGGGGTCTTTCCGGGAGTAATTACCACGGATTTTCTACATAGTAAAAGCGCTTGGTTGCAGCATTAAATATTTGAATGTCCTTCCAAATCGTGAAATATTGCTTAAAATTGTGCGAACCCAGAAGAGGGTTTGTAGACTCTGGATCTTTTACTTCTGCCTTGTTCCGCGTGTCAGTTGGGTTTAAATAGGCCGAAATTCAGGCGGAATAAACAATACCTCGCTATTTGTACGCGGTCGTACCGGGTCTTCCGCAAATTCTCCGCCAATACACTTCCCTGATTTTTGAAGAATAATCCGAGAAATGTCTCCACTGCATCGAAAACCGCATTAGAAGAGCTGTATGTCCATGTGGACATCTGGTGAAGCAGAAACCTTTGCTGCCTAAATTCCGGTAATTTGTAGCCACCGCTCACACATTTGGCTGATCATAATACGGAATGCAGCTTGCTCGGTCACAGCCTTCCTAGTCCCGAGTATACGCAGTCTGATAGCTTCTCTCCACTTTACCAAGCGTAGAACATGTTGGCAGCAGTCAGTTATGACTGACTGATTTATAAATCACAGTTAATTGTCCAGTACCCAGAGTTTGCCCTGATGTCCTCCAAAGACCAATCCAGCGTTCTTATCCGTATGGTTTTTTTAAATGGTTTGTGTGCTTTACTTCATGGAAGCAATTTCCGAAATATATTGCTTTTGAAGCAGTCGTCGGTTCCATACCGGTAAAGAGTCCTAGGACGCTGTGTGATCGGTGACGTTCGGGCTCATGGACCACGAAATGCATGACCGAACACGAACGCATTTCCAAAGTGCCCTTTTTAAACTATGCCTCTGTGTCCTATGAGTAGATGAAATCTGCGCTCCCACTTTTGCGCGTAGTTCGCTATTTGAAACTGTTTACTTGTACTTTACGATCGGGCTTTGGCATAGGGTAAAAGCGCTTTCTCCTGCATGGAAGCGTCTTTCATCAACTGATCCTGTCGTTGCTATTGTAGTTCTGTAGGAACCCATCAGTAATTGGATGAAATTGTAGTCTTTAGAAGGAGCCCTGGAGCATTTTGAACTTTTTTGCAAGCCTCTATTTCATCCTGTCTTATGACTCTGTCTTCGGTTCACAACTCATGATCTGCGGAACGGGTCCTGGGTAGTGGAGCAATGCGTTTTGGAGCACTTCAGTCCTTTTTAGGCGAGACAAGAAGTGAATTTGCTCCGGTCGAGTGTGGGCTTGGTGGTTTCAACGTGCTAAGTATTTCCCAACTATCACGATAGTGGCGTGCATCAGCCAGTCCTAATTACAGGAGGAAAATGAACATTCCCACATTTTCTTGGCGTTGAGACTCAACAGTCCACGCTAGGGGTCGCGTTGCGTTCAACAATCAATAATTGGGAACTTTTTTAACAACAAGGATAGGAAGGCTGGAGTGACCATTTACGGATTATTTGCCACTATTGACCGGTGAGGCCTCAGTTTCAGGCTGAACACTTGAAGTTGAAGTCCGAGTAAGTTGATCATTAATGAACGTTTTCACTACTTTACTGACGATCTCAGATCCTGTCGACTGTGATCTTGAATATTAGGCCACGTGACCACCTTATCTCAATCAAGAACGCGTGCTCGAAAGTATAATAGTGAGCGCGTTGCTAGATTATCGTCCTGCGTTTGGATCTCAAGTCTCTCACCCAGAATTCGAGTATCATATGCGGACAGCAACAAATAATCCAAAAATGGCTAGTCCATTGTCCTCGTCATCATCGGTAAAACTCTCACGCTGTGTCATGGTGCTTGAACCCTTGATTGTCCCAAAACGCAACCGACCGTGGCCACTCCAGGTCGGTTTACCTCGTGGAATCAAGGCTTGGCTATGTAAAGCTTTGGACTGTGTTGTCGAGCAACTATATTCTACATTGAAATTTGTTTTCCTTGCCAGAAGTTGAAACTGAAATAAGGATTCCTAAACTGTATCTAAGGCTGCTATTTCACGATATATTTTTACTATGAATTTAAGTAAATTTCTGCGCTTGTTTTAAGTAAACTGTTATCTCACTTCTTTAAATTTATATCTGGGGTTCACGATAACAGTAAACCTTTGCCACTGATCATGTAGAGCAGTTACCCCAGGCCACCGTACCACAATAATACCGGTTTCAGAATGTCAGATCATCAGGTTCGGCACTCGACAGCAGACGTATTTTTCTGCCGCAAAATCACAGATTACAGTCCATTTGATATCTAAAGAGAGTTTGCACCCTTATTTTCTGATATTCCGAAGTCCCGCTCTCTGTGAAATCTGTCCTGTAAACGATGAAGTTTGATTTATTTATGGTGCCTTACCTCCTCACTTGAGCTGGAGTGGCAGTTAATTACCTGTTCTGCTGTCCTCAGAATGCATAGTTTCAAAATCTAACCTAATTTTTATTTTCAGCAATCTTGTCTGAATTCGTAATAGAACATGTTCGCTCTGATTACCAATTCTCTAACCATCGTAAGCAGTTTGGCGACATAAAATAGAGAAATGAGAATTTTGATCAGTACTTGAGTCACTTCGTCACTTTCGTGTGCTTAAACACAGGCTGTGTTGTTGCTTCCGGCCTTAACAGAGCGAAGCAGGTGTGTGGTGCCAGTAAGACTGAGACTTCATGCAGTGTCAACCACCGCATGTGGTCTCATTCTCAGTCACTTGACTAGTACTTCTCAGCGGGGAGGGCAGATGACGTCGATTTAACTCGAGCTTGTTATAGCTGGATGGGTTTTTGTTTATCGTGACGCTTTAACGGTCACGTTAACTTTCGGCATACCTCTGTTCTACTCTGGCCTGCAGTTTCGATTGCAGGGCTTTTTTAATGTACACTCCATGTCAAATCATTGTTAGGCCTCGGTTATCAAAGTCTGATTCATGTGTAGTGATGGGCCGGTTCATCTGTGGCACTGGTTGACAGTGGTTAGCCACCGAATCCACGCCCATCTCCCATCACTCTGACCTTACCTTACCATTAGACCACGATGGAATCGGAAAGAAATAATGGAACAGATGTCGCACATGTCCCAGTTAAAATAATTCAACTCACGCACAAGTTACCACTGCTCCCCTTCCTCGGGCAGAGTGGTAGTTCAAGTTGCGTGAGCCAAGCCAAGCGTCACTTCAGAACATGCTCTCATGTTATTTTGCCGCTCTTTCACAGACCTCTAACAATGGACGCCGTTGTGGTTTTATGCCATTTTTGCGAACAACACGGACCTGCGGTCATCATGAGTACCCAGCCCTTTCGACAGACACCCTCACAATCATCTACAGCTGTACACAAGACTAGCACTGGCCCTCCCATTGCATCATCCAGTTGCGGCAGTTTCACCATAATGGCCACCGAGTCCGCAGTATGGCGAGGAGATTCTGCCAATATTTCTAACAATCTGTGTAAGTCAATTCAGGTAGTCTGTTCGGCCCTAAACATTGACCGTGATTTGCTCAGGTAGGATTCACCTCGTAGAGGTTATCTTTTCTGCTCGCAGTTTTTTTGTATAGTTCCTTACATTTATTACGACTGTGTTTACGCCTGCACGATGCCGTGCATAAGCTAGCCCAGATCTTAAATGGGAGACCAATGAAACACTTTTAGTCTGTTACATCGTCCTATTCTGCCCTGAGGTCTTCCTACAGTTGAGGTCTTCAAGAAAATCTTCCACTTGTGTAGTCACTATCCCACTTAAATTTCTGGCGATACGCTTATAAGAACTGAGTTTGACACAACGACCTTTGACAGTACCGCACAGTTCCAGTAGTTCTATGCATACGAGCCATGTAGACTGCCGTCCATAGGTCTCGGGCATACTGTTGTCTTCCTACCTGAGCGATCACAGCTGCATGTTCGAGTTTCCGCTCTTTAAGGATCAATAGGCTTCCTCGGCTTCGATGATGCCTTTGGGCGATAAGAGTTGGGTCGTAGTTATGCGCTAATTCCAGCAAGATATCTAAAATCCCACAGGACCCGAACAATAAATTTCCGCTCATTTTTAAGAAATGAGAGGAGACAGAATGTCGTAGCCAGAGGCGTCGGCACAAACGACGTTGCCTCCAAGATCTGCATGCATACTTTTCTACGCTGTTCGGCGCCGCCGGAGATTTACGAAATAGGAAGATATCACTGCGCAGTAACTCTTTTAGCGTAGGCGATTGCAGTCTGAAAGAATGCATAGGTTCTACTGAGAGCCGAATTTCAGGTTTCAGTGACTTATTTAAGTGACCCATCACACTACGCTGGCGCCCACCTCCAATCGTTTGGCTCTGTTTTGGCATCGAAGCGCATTTAACTTGAAAAAAGGACGTAATAGATGCTGTAAAATTCAAAATGATTTGCGAAGTCACTCGTTATCAGACGTAGTCTACTGTTGACTTTTGTAAGGTGACTGCCGAAATCTACCTCAACAAACTAACGCTCAAGCCGCCCCTACTCCCGATTCGGGGCATAGGTGGACCTCGGCTAAGGCAACCGCTTAAATATAAGTGTGCTTACACCAAAAAGATGCTTAGCAGACAGGTAAAAAAACTGAAAGGGACCCAGGAGTGTAGTTTTTACTTCCTTACACTTGTTGCAATTATGAGTACGCCTGATCTGACCGGCCTGCATGATGTCGTGTTCAACAATCAACGCGACAGATACGCAGAACTCCATCCATTCCTTTAACTGCCAACAAAGACCGAATACCGAAGGCTGAAGAACGACTTACGCGTCCTTGCTTACCATGTTGATCGTGTATTTCTTCGCTGTTTATCAAAGAGTCTGTGCGGGTCTTGCCCGACAGCCCTGGCTTATTTTGCAGTTTTTGTGCGTTCAAGACCTTTCCCTACGACCCCTCTTTGCTGTTAATGCACTTCGTAAAAATTGCAGATGGAAGTATTTGAGCAGTTTATTTTTCATCATCGAAATTTCAAGTTGGCAAACAAGTATTTTCGGTACTTCTTCTTCAGGCCAATATAGTTACATGAAGGAATGAAAATGCACAAAATTAGCAGTGTTTATAGGTGTCTCAAGGGCTATTAGGTCATTAACATCCATCTTCCCCTCGCCGCCCGCATGACGAGGTGGGCGGGTTTTAGTCCTCAGAGCTAGGGGAGAGGGGTAGAAGAGTCTTTGAGTGATGTTCGTGGGTTGGGTACACGGAGTACCCATCACTGCAATCAGGGATTTGGGACGATGTGTCGGCATTACTTGAGGTTGGCGTTTACCGCGATAGAGAGAGCGCTTGTGTCAGCGTTTTGTGACAGCATAGCACTGAATTCGCTAGCCGTATAGCCATAGACTCGGCCGTTGCTAGGAGCCGTTGGCGTAGGCCTTTAGAGAAGCATGTTGGTGTCCGGTAGACAACCTGAAATGCTTTCTTGGCATCGACTCGGTGATTCGTATCGATTAAATTAGCCAGAATAGAGCTCAAAATCGATCGGGCCTCACTTCTGCCTAGCCAGTCGGGCGTATGTTCACGCACCCTCTTTACCAGGCGTCACCTTGTACGGCCCATGTATCCCGCTCCGCAGGAGCAAGTGAATGAGTAAATGTGGATTAATATGGCCTCCAACGGTAGTCTGCCTACCTCCCAAGCGTAGGAGGGGAGAGTTTGTGAAGCATACGCGTAAATTCGTCGTTGGGAATTCCCCTGTGATAGCTGTAGTTAAGCGCCGTATGACTAGTTCGCTCTCAGCGTCTCCTGCAAAAGGCAATCTTATGAATACATCTTTCTTTTCCGCAGTCGCAACAGTGGGCTTTGCAATGCGTTCTCAAATATTTCGGAGGATAGATCTATCTGGGTGTCCGTTCTCACGAAGTGTGTTCCGCATCGAAATGCACATTTAGTAGTATTTATAGTCCTGGTAAAGCCTGAGATAATACGTCTTTCGCAGAAAACGCTCTCACTATTCGCCTTTCTACCCATGGGCATGCTTGCAATGTAAACGCTTCTCTTAGGCGTCAGATTGAACGCCTTACTAATTTTACATTCTCGGGTGGAATCTATCGAGTGCGTTTCCAACCCTTACCTTTGCAGTTATTTCTTAATTCACTTTTCAAACTTATGCCGGCGCATCTGCGACAAGCACGAATGTTTCCCATCTTTGTCTTCTTTTTGGTACGACTTTGATTATATCGAGTCTGCAGACCAATCGCAAGCCAACTGCAGTGTTTTTGTCTGAATTTGTTCCACCGAGATTAATAACCCTACAAATGCGACATCTTTTACAGTTTCTCTTGATATTTTTACATTAATACAGAGGAGTTTTAGAGGACAACACGAATGACTCGTCGATGAAATAAAGTAGTTCTAGGGTGAGATTCAGCTACTTCAAAGCGTTTAAAATAACTTACGGTTGTCAGAATTAGACTGGAGCCAAGATATTCAGCCTGTCGGGCTGACAAAGGTTGTTTTTTTATGCGCGGATCTACACGAACATGCATTTCAAACCAAATATCAGAGGAGTACACGCCAACAACATGTCGGTTAAGGCGCTAGAAAGCTGAAGGGACAGCAAAGCAAGCGCACTTAACACACGAGAAAAAGGACAAAAGTTGAGAAGCAAAAGTTCTTGAATCTTCCACCGTATACAGTGCACGAGACTGCTAAGGAATGTACGTAGACCGCTAGCTACTGCGAGCCGCTGCCTAGAGTGCCAGCGGAAATGTAATCTTTGAAGCCGATATTCGTAACTGTGCTCTCATGAAAGGCGGAGTAATATTGCGAAAAGCAAACTCGTGGCACTAACCATATATTCCGAAGGCGAGTTAAAAACAACATTTTCACGAATCTCTGCTGTATGTTTCCCTGTTTGCATGCAGTGATACCTGTCTCTAAGATGGGCCAAGAGGTAGATGCGCAGGGGCTAAATCGGAGTCTCACTGGCGTTATCGAGAATACGCACCCACAACAAATGCCAACATTGGGGTTGTGGCAACAGGCTCAGGTGCAGGCTTATGCCGCGCCAGTTGAGATCCGTGTTGTTTCGCCCCTTCTGTGGTTGTGTAAAATGCCGACCAGTGTACAGTGCGGACCAGGGGGTGCAGTGGTACACATAAGTGCAAGCTTTTGTCCCGTCAACCGCCTGCTCCCTCTCCTGCCTTCGGTCTTCTTGACTCTATTTTGACACCGGATCTTGGTGGGGAAGGAGGAGGGAGTGCGATAGATGCTGCGCAAGGGTGTTACCACTACAAACTACATCACATGCAAGTCACCGTTCCTGCCCTGCTGTGTAGCGCACGATGAACAATGCTGGCGACGAAGGTCGAACTGATATGTTGAGCTAAGTGTTGCTTTGATCCGCCTTTCGCTGTCCAGGGATTGGCTGCTTTGCAAACGGGCTAGGCTGAAGAAGTAATGGGAGATTGGCGGAATCGGTCAGGGACAATGCGTCTAGACATTGAAGTGGATATGTACGAGTAGTTGTCAATTTTTGGGAAGTCCAACATAGGCTAGTTCGTGGGAATATATAAACCGACGAAGACGCAGTGAGCCTTAGACAGCAATCATTCCTGGCTCTTCTCGTGCCCTCGACTTGCTATATCTACCTACAGAAGTGGATCACATGCTATCTCTAGGAAATGGAGCTAAGCTTTTAAGTTCTGCGAGGCACATACTCCTGATTACGTGGGAAAAAGTGAGAACGGAGAATAGTTTACACTTCACCGGCTCAAAACTCGAATGCAATGCTCTCTAATTACTCGGTCCGCACTGAGCTAAAACTATTTAGAGCAATTAGGCTGTTATCCAAAGTCACTATAGAACCCTACACAGTCTGGTCCTCCTTTTCGTTCCTGCTTTTGGGATACTTCCTGATGTCTAATGACCAGTTCCTCTTTCGCTTGCACTGTGTCTTGCTGTCGTATTTACGCACATGCTTTAGAACCTAGGCACACCTATATTCCCCATCAGCTGGAGATTACTAGCATTTTTGACGCCTGCCTCTTATCTGATCTAGCAAGTCTACGTTGCCAACTAGTCTTCTAACTTCCACCAGCATATTTATTGTGTGAGTAAGGGGCGTGAATGTATACCCAAACCGACCGACCTAGTTTGAATAACTCGGCGAATACCATGTGACCGGTAAACGTCATAGATACTAATCGTGGTCTTCGGTCCTGGACTGTCGCGGCCTACAAGCTAGACTGTTCACGAAAGCAACACATACCACGCAAGCGCAGAGCTCCAAAGACAACCAGCTAGTCGGCCGTAAACACATTTGCGTAAATACGCTATGTCAAGCGGTGCCTACAGAGGCAGAACGAGAGGTAAGACTGCGCAGGATCAAAGTTTTAACAAACGCTCCCGTGTGTCGAGAACGTCTTGAGAACCCTAGGCTCGAACTCGCGACCTGTTTGTTAGAAGTCCACGCTTCTAACCACTGGACCACGAGTCCGTTGCCCTGTCGGCCTTTCGATCGGAAATATACAATGGTAGGGAGCGCTCACCGATGGAAAACCGACAGGGCAACGGGCTCGTGGCCCAGTGGTTAGAGGCGTGGACGTCTAACTAACAGGTCGCGAGTTCGAATCTCGGGTGTTCCACACTTCGGAGTTGGATATGACTGGCTGACGACGGCTAATAAGCCAGAAATGGCCATTCCAGTCTCCCTTGTCTTTGTCGGTAATAACATTCTGCCTACATCATGGGCTGCTGTGCGGCTGCTGGTTGGACTCGAGAGAGAGAGTCCACAAGGCACAACGGAACGAATGAGTTCCGTAAGAACGATCGGTGAGCGCCCCTACCATTGCCTTGAGAACCGTCGGTCGCTTTCACGCTTCACATGGTTCATCGGCCGTCTGTTCATGAACAAGTGAAGTGATTTCCCCTCTCCCTGAGAAGGCAGAGTAGTGTCCAGCAGCTTCATACTGCCAGTTTCTCCTGTCTTGAATGACGAGAAGTCTGAGAGGGTCTCCTCTCTTATTTGGCCTGAGCCCTGAGTGATAGCCACTAGCCGATGTAAAGAGGATGTAAACCATCATTTTTATGGTTCTACGTATCATGCTGTCTGTTTAAAATTGCTTGTGCTTTCCACGGTGGTTTTCGTGTTACGGTAAAGCGTCTGCACATAAGCTGAGATTCTTGACTGATTCTTGAGTCGATTTCAATGAGCATTCTTTTTTTGCTCGACCTCATGCCAACGATTTGAGACGATAGAATCGTTTCTGGAAGTTGTCCAAGCCAAACAGTACAAGCTGGCGGTCTGATGCTTGGGCTTATCGTTTCGTGTAATATGTTGGTTTTGGTGGAAGTTTAACAGACAAATTGAGGTTCATTTAGGAAAAATTCCCAGCGTTTTCCCAGCTGAAAGTTGCGCATTTTCTATCATTTTACGCACAAGTAGGACGGACCATGACTACTGTCAAAGAATTTGATTGTGTGAAAGCCATAAGCAGCTCCACTTGGGATCAACAGCCAGAAAACGCTTCTGTTCTCCTCTTATCCATGTGTAAATAGCATGTCGCGTTAGCTTTCACGATGTTTCAATTTCATGTAATGCTGATATCTTGATTAACAGGTCAAAGATGGTAAGGACTTCCATTGATGCCTTTCAGACGAATATATTGCCTCTAGCGTTTCGGCCACACAGTCAAGTGGTGCTGTGCAGGAATCAAACCTTTCAAATCAACACACGGGCACCTGCAGGGCCTGCTCATTTGTGACACGAGAGGAAATCGGATACGTCAGTCAGGACTTTACCGCCAAAACAGCTTACGTATCCACACAATTTCCTGTGGACCCGGCTGTTGCGTCCATAGTGCGAAGCGCCTGTATGCGGAGCCTGTCTTGTGAGGTGAGCGAACCAGCCCTCTTGGCTATATTTTTATTTTTGGGTAAGATGTGATTTGGTAGCCCCACCTGATGGACACAATGTTGTTGGGGTTGGGGTTTAGGGCTGCGGTTAAGGGTTAGGGCTAAACGGTTAAGGTGGGGCTCTGGTTAGGGCCGCTATTTCTCAACCATTTAAAGTACAACCGCGCATCCCCAATAGCTCTTCTTCTGCCTACAATTGCTTGACCTCGTCGCCTGTGCGTTCCCCGGCCCCACCTGTAAAACCTCTATTACCACCGGTCCCCTATTACAGGTGGCTGGGTTTTATTTACTTCAGGTGGGGCTAAATAACCACGTCCGACCTATTTTTGTTATTAGGTTGATCAAGCTGAGAGTTCGAGAGTAGTAATTTGAGAGCGAAGAGCGATTCCATGGAGTCAAGTTACCGAATTACTGACATTCCGAAGAGCGTTTAGTCGGCCGTTCGTTCTGGTGTGTCGGACGCTCGTGGTCATAACCTTTCCGAAACTCGGCCGCACACAATTGTAGGTTACTTTAAGCACAAAAAAAGCAGAATCCACCGAGTTTACTGTCGCCTTTAGATCCATTTTTCAAGGAGAAAGGGCAGTAGAAGAAAGCAAACCCTGTCATTATTTATAAGACGTCAAAGGCCTAAAATCCCTACAAAGAGGAGCAGTGGGCGCTCCAAAGTCTTGAAGTGGACGAAAACCTTACTCTCTGTGGGCTGACAAGTGCCGCTCCACGCCGAGTAACGCGGAGTGAGAGTTGACATCTAGGCCATGCCACCACAGTAATATACCGGCAATAATTACCGGCTCGCATGGACTCTGTGCATTGCGATTAGATCGCGCGTCGTGAACCAGTCTCAGCCCCCCCTGTTTTGACCCAGAGCAGCCTCTCATGGAGGCCAATCATATTTCCCTAACCTCCTCAGGATGAGTGCACACGCATGCATTTTGTCTGACGAAGCAAACATTGGACGACCAAAAGGGCAACCCTTCAAAGTGTTAGAGATCATACCTTGCATCAAAGCAGTCTCTGGGGCGGCCTGTCAACCATCGCACTTTAAGTTGGTAATGTTTCATGGCCACAACTCCTTGCACCCTGGTGCAGCCTACTTACACACTGCCGCTTGCCGAAAACTCGGTAGTGTCAGTAAATTTTTCCTGTAATGGTAGAGCCTGTAACTGTGTCAGAGAGTCCGGATAAAACTTGCGCACAAGCCAGCAGGGCCAGACGGTCAACACGGAGGTTAGACTCCAACTAGCAGATGACAGTGGAGAAATTGACCGCACTTTTGGCCTTCAAGGCGCAGGCGTGTGGGAAAAGACTGCTAGAAGGCAAAATAACTATCTATATCCACAGCTTTCTGATATCACCTCCATCAACTCCAGCCTCCCCCTCCCCCTTCGAGTTACAAGATATTTTGCCGTTGTCTACGCAAGGATTAGTATAAGATGGCCGCAGTAAACGAATTAGGACTAACAAAAGACTGAGAGATCCAGACAGGAGGTTCGTCCTACGGGGAAGCGGCCGAGCAGCTAATACGGAATCTCCCATATTGAGGTGCCGATTGACGACGCAGACAGGTCATCTTCAGCAGTCTCGGGCGCATCTTTTACTGGGATTGTCTTGACCTAATAAGCAATAATTTGGAAGATGCTTCTGTTTACCGTCTTGTTTTCCGTATTTATTAACATCAATTTTTTGCAAAAATGCAGCTTTTCTACAGACCTAAAATTGTTAAACCAGTCAAGTTTGGATATGCGCTTCGCAGCATCATCGCCACATGGGAAATCCAATATTTCAGATGCAATTCGTGAGAACTGCTACAGATCATCGAACGGTTTATCTTTGTACCAGTGTCTCACTTTGTCCTTTATACTATAACTATCCTGATCACGTTGGCTAACATGGTCCCGTGGAGTTCCGTTGAGCTCACCTGTGGCATTCGCTAGTCAACTCTATTAAGCTGTTTAAATGTGAAGTCCCTCGTTTCTCTCTTAGTAGACTCATGCGGTAGTAGCCATACGTAAGACTAGTTGTCTGAGCTCCCCTTCATATCCCCTACGAAACCTACCCACCCGCCCAGGAGACAGTGGAGAGCACTGCAAGCAAATCTTTGATGACGGTGTTCCGGAACTACCTAGAAAATTCTGGATACTTCTGTAGACACAATTATCTTCCCCACTGGCTTATCCACAAGCTTTTTGCATTTAAGCTCCTCCCATGTTTAGTTGACTGGTCTATTTCAAAGTCAATCCTTTTGTTGTTGCTGTTATTTTCTCTCCTTTCATCGTTTAGGTACTGCCAGGCCGCGAGGGACCAGTGTACTTTGGTGATGATGTGAACGGACACGTTATTAGTTACGCCTTCTTCATCAAGGACCACAACGCCAGGGGATATCAAGTGAAATACAGCTTCCTTGTCATCAGTTGGGACCAGATTTTCCTTATGAACTTGTGGCCTTTCATTGTGAGTCAGTCAACCCAGCCGTACCTGGGTTCGTTTTGAAAGTGTACACCTTCCATGTCGCACGTCTCCGTTTTAAAACCTGTTCGCCTCTGCTTGCGTGGACTTTGCATTCTAAAATTGTCAACTTCCCTAATGAACTTCTTATCTCACTTTCAAAAAGTTATTCGAAATACTCTTGCATGCTATCCAAACAGCAAATCTAAAACTGACCTTTTCTCCATGGTTACGAGAGCTGCACTTTAAATATCGAGTAGCCGAAATCATCCTATAAATCAGGAAGGTTAATGACTCCTCTCCGCAATAATAAAGAGGTCAGGGCGATCATATCCTCTGGGAGAAGAGAGCGCAATTTCAGCTTGTTTTTTTAAGCTGAACTTACTGCATGCTAACACGCACCAAGACGACCGACGTTTTGCACTGTAATCGCACCTTTGTGGGCCAACTAGGATTCAGAACTCCAGTTCTCTCCAACATTTTTGTGGGTGAAGCAGATGCATGTCTTTAACAAAGTGCTTCAGTTCGAAGGAAGTTTGGTATGACTGGCTGACGACGGCTAATAAGCCGGGAATGGCCATCCCAGTCTCCTTATCTTTGTCGGTAATACCATTCTGTCCATATCATGCGCCGCTTTGCGGCTGCTCGTTTGGCTCGAGAGAGAAAGAGAGAGAGAGAGCCGGTAAGGCACAACGGAACGAGTGCGTTCCGTAAGAACGATCGGTGAGCGCTCCACTCTACCATCGAAGTTATCATTCTCGGTTGCAGTTTTCTGCCTTCACACGGCAATGGCATCACAATGATCTCATCAGCTTCTCAGGCCACAGCAGCTTTGTCTTTGGTCGCTAGGCAACTAGCCTGTTTTGGGCCTCAATAGGATTAGCATTCGCCATTCCGGTGATTGTCAAGTTGCTCTGACAGACGTTGACGAGTTGAATGGGGCTGATATAACTCTGTTTTTTACGGCATCAATCACTCGTCAATCTAACCTCCCAGATGATCACAAACGTACCGCGTTTATACACATCCGTTATTCTCCTGTCTCGTTCTTGACTGGAGGAATGAATAATTGAAGAGGACACTGAATAAGCCCAAAATAAATGTTTCAATCTCCGTTTTTCGTCATTCCCTGACATTCAGAGATACCCATGAATTCTGTCGTCTTCTGTTCTGTGAACAAATGCTCGTCCCTTGGCGAACTCGCACCTGTTGACCGGTGTTTCTGTCTCATGTAGGTTAAAAATGTTGAGCGCATGGCCTCAAGACTGCAACGAGCAGGCTCGCGAGTCTATGAAGACGAGGCGGCCGCTGCCGGCCGCTCTGTGACCCCACCTGTACGCAGCAGTCGGACGCCACCGCGTGTGAGTCTAGCCACTACACCGCCGCTCAACTTCACTGCAGCAACGTCGCCTCCACCGCCGCCACTGTCAATGGCCGGCACACCGACTGCCTCGGGCTACCATCGTCAGCAACACCAGAACCCACCGCTGTTGAGTAGTCAGGCCATCGCTGCGGGCAATGCGGTGGCCGGTTCTCAGCTCGGTGTCAGCAGCGGCGGTGGTGGTGGTGGTGGCAAGTCGGTCGGTCAGCGACGCGCCACTGACTCGGACATGCGTTCGCTGGCCGATCTCACGAAGGACGATCAGGCATGTGACACGTTTCCCTCCCTTCCTCTGTTCATTTGCCCCCCCCGCCCCCTTGCCAGGAACTAAAACCTTATCAGACATTAATTTCCTCGCACGCCTTTCTCCTTGTTGTTACAGCTAGGCTCCTGACTTGGGAGAATTGTCATCAGTAAGTAAACGTTTAGTACAGAGTCATGCCGAATAGAGCTGTTAGTAATCGCGCAGAAATTCCAATATGACTATAAAAGAAGTGCAGTGTTGAGCTTTGTGTGACATTGGAGGAAGGCCATGAGTTCGAATTCGCCAACACGCGGATGTTGGCGCGAGCCGGCAACAAGACGGGACGAGAACTGTTGGAGGCGTGGGTGTCGGACACCAACTCTTCCAATAGACACACTGATTTGCCTGCGTGTTATCACGCACTCCGCCCACGCAGCCAGGTGGCGCAGCTCACATCGCCGCGAGGTACAAACGGCGTCACCACGCCGGGGGACCATTGTGGGCCAGGCAGC